ATCTTTAGTTAAATAATTTTGAAGATTTCCATCTTCCATATATGCCATTACAAATACATATTCTTTTGTAATTGGTTCTTGTGTTAATCCATAAATATGAATTATATCATCTTTATCATGAAACTTCATATAATTTTTGAACTAAATGACAAAATATTTAATTATAACAATAATAATTGGTGATATTTAAAAAAATCAAAAACTAATAAATAATTTACCTCATTAAGAAATTCATCAGAAATATTTTGTGAATTATGTAGTTTTTTTAATGCCACAGTCCTATCTTTATTAGTTCTTCTATTTCCATCAGTATCTTTCTTACCATTTAACCAAGTAGCTTTGGATATAGTTAAAAACTTATCTTCATCTATTTTTTCAATGTTTGTTAAATCATTATAAGGAATCCATTGAAGATAATTATCATTATTATACCCAGTTGCTTTAAGTTGTGTTCTTTTAATAAACTCATCTAATGTATCATTGCCACTAGTCCATCCTTCAGTTAATAGCTTTGGATCACATGATTGACACCATGAATGATAAGTATTATATGTATTGCAAGTTGGGCATTCCCCATAATCATTTCTTCTTCTCCATGAATATTCATCATTTTTAAGACTTCCATCTTCTGTGTAATGCATTACAGAGATATATTCTTTTGTAGTTGGATCTTGTGTTAACCCATAAATATAAACTTTGTCATGAAATTTTGCATAATATATAAACTAAAATAACAAAATAAAATATTTAATCATAACTAAATAATATTTAAAAAATCTGAAAATAAATAAAAAAATAAAATAATTTACCTCATTAAGAAATTCATCAGAAGTATTCTGTGAATTATGTAATTTTTTTAATACCACAGGCATATCCTTGCTAGTTCTTTTATTATTATAATCTACACTTTTATAACCATTTAACCAAGTGGCTCTGGATATAGTTGCAAACCTACCTTTACCTATTTTTTCAATGTTTGTTAAATCATTATAAGGAATCCATTGAAGATAGTTACTATAATGATACTTGGTTTCTTTAAGTTGTGTAGCTTTAATCAACACATCTAATGTTTCATTGCCACTAGTCCATCCTTCAGTTAATAGTTTTGGATCACATGATTGACACCATGAATAACCAGTATTATATCTATTGCATGTCGGACATTCCCCATATTCTTCTTTTCTTCCCTTTGAATATTGATCTTCATAAGATTGAAGACTTTCATATTTTTCATGTTTCATTACAAAGATATATTCTTTTGTAGCTGGTTCATGTGTTAACCCATAAACTTTATTTATAAATGATTTACCATAAAATATGACATAATTTCTGAACTATAAAAATATATTGAATTTCAGAATAATATTTAAAAAATGAAAATAAATATAAAATAAAATAATTTACCTCATAAAGAAATTCATTAGAAATATTTTGTGAATTATGTAGTTTTTTTAATGCCACAGGCATATCCTTGCTAGTTCTTTTATTTCCAGCTTCATATTTATAACCATTTAACCAAGTAGCTTTGTAAATAGTTGCAAACCCACCCTCACCAATCTTTTCAATATTCATTAAATCATTATAAGGAATCCATTGAAGATAATTATCATTACCATACTTAGTTGCTTTAAGTTGTGTACTTTTAATCAATTCATCTAATGCTTCATTGCCACTAGTCCATCCTTCAGCTAATAACTTTGGATCACATGATTGACACCATGAATGATAAGTATTATATCTCATGCAGGTTGGACATTCCCCATAATATTCATCTCTTCTCCATGAATATTTATCATCATCATGATGCTTATTTTTATTTAAAGTGTTCTCCATCTTTAAAAATTATCTGTGCTTTTTTATTATATTTTCAAAAAAATAATTTTATTTCTAAAAGAACTTTTTTTTTATGTATCACACAAAATATATTTAGATTTTTCATTAAATTTTATATTTACCTGAATTTACAACAATTATTTACGGCCTGTAAATATTGTAAACGTGCGAGTCACCAAATCTGGAAAACTAAATCACTATATCAAATATACAACTACACTGTTTGATTAGGGTTCTATTCGAATAAGGTTCATTTGAATTATTGTTTTACTCGTTATGAATTTGAGTATTCGAATTACATTGAACGTTTATTTGAATAAATAAATAATGAATATAATTCGATAATTCGAATAAAACGAATAAACAATTCAAATAAAACGAATAAACTAATGATTCAAATAAAACGAATAAACGAGTGATCAAATAAAACAGATAATTCGATAATTCCAATAAAACGATTAATTTGATTAATTTGATTAATTTGATTAATAATGAATAAATAATTCGAATAAAACGAATGAATGATTAATTCGAATAAAACGAATAAACGAATAAACGAATAAAATGAACAATCTAACCAAACGAACAAACGAATAATTAGAATAAGCGAATGGTAATAATTCGAACAAAATGTATAATTTGAAACAAAATGAATAATTCGAATAAGAATTTGTATTACGAATAGAACCTCTACTCTCACCAAATCTGGCACACGGCCAATAGCATTAAAACTAAACAAAAATCACCATATACAACTACACTACTTAAGACGTCCCTACAAGCAATTTAGTAAAATTAAAAAGGGGTTCCTAACTAATAATTAAAAGTTGGCCAAGCCATTAATCATCAGGAAGGGTTATGAATCAATTAATGATTAATTGATTACGGTCAAGGACTATTTTTATCTAAAAATGTTATTTTTATTACCACCAAAGCGTTAAGATATTATATTATTATTTTTATTGTTGAAAGATTATTCATTTATTGATTTCTTTTCACTGAAGGAGATTTCAAGCATACTTCTACTTGAAGTATTACAAATAACATGACTTTTACATGATTTTGTCCAATAAAATAAAATAGGATGATAATGATGACTAATTGACAATTGCTAATGCTAAATGTTAAAAATGCATCATTGATGATGTCATGATTAAATGGTACTTGATGAAATATTTTTATGAGCAAGAAATTATTTTGTCAGATGGTAATCAGCTTCAATTTGTAAAAGTGTTGATGATAATTTGTCTTCCTTGAAAATATTATTAAACAGAAAAATATGGCAATGTGACTCTGGACACATTTGTATTGCACCAATTCCATTCAATTCATTAACAGCATAGAAGGCTTTGATGAACCTTTCTTTAAAGTCAACACTGCTTTAATAGGACAGGTTTCTAGATATTTTGCAGAAAATCAATCAATTAGCTGAATAAATCTGAACTAAAGATAAATATGTTTTTCCTTTTATTTATCAGATCAACTCACCTATTTCACTTAACAATAAATTATGCTATTGATCCAGAATTAAAAAGATCACAATAATAATGACTGTTATATTTGTAATTCTAAGCCTAGAAACATAATCATCAAACCCATCATCTTTAAATATTGTTAGTTCACAAACCATACTAAAAATAAATAATTTATGAGGAGGAAGTAAAAAAAGGAGCATTGCTTGGAAGTATTTCTTTAACATGAAACACCATTACAGGTTCAAGATGCTCAAAATCTTAATAACGAATTTGACTCATTACAGCAAGGATTACTTTTTAATGTAATGCTTAGAATATAAAAATGCAATTATTCAAACATTGGATGAAATTGGTAGATATTTAGATAAGACAATAGCACCAGATCCTGACTAAAATATTAATGTATTCAAATGGCAGGATGCCACAGAAAATACCATATAATTACACCAGGAAATTTTTTCTGACGCGGATTTACACTATTTATGTAAGTTTATGGCGGGCCCCATAATATTATGCAATTATTACATTGAGTGTAAATTTTTTATGCAAATATTACATATTAAAATTCATGGACATAATATTACGGCAGGGAAAATTTCCTGATGTATTATTATTATTATTATACGATTTATGGAAATTGTATATAAATCTCCATGCGGAACTAGTACAGGATATTTTTGGTTTGGAAAATGGAAAATAAAAAAAGACCATAACATGAAAAACGTTTCAAGAAGTTACTATTGTTTTTGAAACTTTAAAGAACAAAAATTAGGTATAATTTTTACATAAGGGTTACATATAGGAGTGGCTAAAGTTGCCTTTTTTTACATTATTGCAGTGATGTTAGCCAACTAACAACATCACTACTAAGAATGGTTGACGAAATACTTTGCATTTGACGAAATGTGACAAAATTGACAAAATTGACAAAACTTAAGTTGACCAATTAAACCAACCAAATTTCATAATAATAACCAATGATCAAAGGTATGGCTAAATATTGATTTTATAATATCAGTATAGTGATGTCACCAAAAAAATGATTTAGATTCAGAACCCTTTGTCTTATCATCATGATAAAAAAGAAATGAGAATAATCACCATGGTAAATACCCAACGTTACTCTACATATTGAATTGCTATATAAAATGCCATGTATAACGCAATCAATAAAATTATTAAAACCCTAGGTTCTCAAAAAATGTACTTTGAGCATATGCATCGATTTTGTCTGGACCTCAAAATTCAATATGGTATGGTCATAATGTTATGAATACCTTATACAAGCAATAATCCATTAGTTTTGAGGTAGTACCATTGGTTTGACGGGCTACTGATAAAATGGCCTAACTTTGAAACTTTATAACTCAAAACTTTTCTAATGAAATGAAAAAGTAAACTGACGGAAATGAAGTTTAGGCCATTAGCTTTAATTATATCGGTTTAGTTTTTTCTTTTATTTTTAATAAGGAGTTATAAGCTTCTGTTCAGAGCCTTAACATATCTTCTTTTTTCTTGTGAAATAATTTCAAAGCAATATGATAGATTTAAAAAGAAATTATTGAAGGAAAAAAATATAAATTAGTACAGTACACAAGTGCTCTTCAAACAGATAAACAATAAACGAAATGGAATGAACGAAAAATAATTTTTTGTATATATTTTTTATGCAATTTGTTTATTAAATCATCCTTATCCTTCTCTAGCTTCTCCCTCTAACTCGTCTATTTCCTCTTCCAAATCTTCCTTATCCTCCCCAAACTTTTTCTTTTCTTCTCTTCTTGCTCGACTATCCAATTCCATCGACTCCTTCTTCAAATTGTTTAACCTCTCCAACTTTTCCCCAGCCTTTTCCAATCTCTTTTTCAATTCCTTTTCAATTTTTCCAATAAACAATTGTTGATTAAAAACTTTGTATAACGATAACAATTGGGAATCACAAACACGTTCAATTTTCTAAGAGATTTTACAATGGAAATTTTATCTATGTGCCTTTAAAAAATTCGAGTTTGGTGACTGAATGCTCTGTGAGAAGCCCAATCGCCAATTGTTGTGGTTGTCCCAAAAATTATCAACGTATAAAAGCATAATTTGAGCACAAATAGCAAAAAGAAATGCAAAAAAAAAATAATCCTGGACACTCTAGCTTGCTATCAGGATTGTTTGATATTAATGTATAGTAATAGTATTATAGAAATAGCCGCAAAGGTCATAATGCCATAACAAGTTACATCATAAATAGCTTCCTTTTTTTCTTTTCTTCTCAAAGATTAAATAATAAAACGATGCAAAAAACACAGTTATAATATAATAATGTTGTGAATGCGAATATCTTCTCCAAAGAAAACAATACAATTTCCTTTATAGATAACAAAAATTTCTGCACATATGAAAAAGCTATTTATTATTAATATATATACAGTATATATATATAAACATGAAAGGTATCAATATATTGCTTCAAATAACTGGTAATAATGTTGGTTAAGTCGTATTGGAAAAAAAATTTATTTTATAAAAAAAGAGTTCGTGAGTTCAATAATAAATAGTAGCAATCAAAGAAGCAAAAAAAAAGTTGTAAGAAATCAAAAATTTTGGGACCATTTCAAGAATCAATATGAAATGGACATTATTCTATGTTGATTTTGAAACAATTGTTACAAGAATAAATATTATGGTAAATAGTATATTTCAATAATTACCTATTATGGATTTACAGTTTTACGGTTTACGGCTTTTACGACTTTAGAGTGTCGTGTCGGATTTATTTACAGCTTATTATTATTAATTATATTATTATTATACCGTAATAGTAATGCTGAATTTGCCGTAATTCGGGCATTTCTACTACGGCAAGTGTAGTTGTAATCATAATAAAAAATGATAGTAAAAACGAGATACTCGCACTATGTATAAAATTTTAGTCAAATTTAGTTTAGAAATAAATCAAAGGGAAATACAAATTCAAAAAGTGAAATTTTTTTGAGCGAGTAACTTAAGTAATATTAGAAATAGGAATATAGGAGTAGGAATAGATAGCAAAGAATAGATATACACAATCGTTTGAATTACGTGAAACGTAAAAGAATCATTCAAAAATACAAAAAAAGCTCGCACCACTTTACCAATTTCTTTCTTATGCTAACTAGAGAATTTCGGAAATCTCCTGCTTGTTTTTGTTGCTCAATTTTGTTCTAGTAATTTTTCGTTTCTTAATTTATCATCTCCAATCTTTTTTCCCATCAATTCAATTAGATGTAAATTTGGTTCACTCAAAGATGTTGTCGTTTCTTTTTTTGTTTTGAATTAGTTGAACAATATCCTATTTCATTCAATGTGAGCTTTATGATTATTTTTGATTTTCTTTTTCTAATTCAAAATTTCATACTTATTATTGCTGACTTGAAGAGAATCAAAGGTCTATTGAGAAACACCAAATATCAATATTCTTGATATTTAATTTCATATTTATTATTGCTGACTTTTATTTTCTAATCTTACGGGAGATTCTGCAAGTAGTAAAAGGTTCTAAGGAATTAGGTTTCATTTTTTTGACTGCACGTGCATTATGAATTAGCCTTTTTCTTTTATTGAGCTTCGGCATTTTATTAAACACGAAGGCTTTTACAAAATATAACTTATTCAAATGCTGATTAATTCTAAATATTTTTTTATTTAAAACTTGGATATTTTATTTTTTTACAATTATTAATAATAATAAAGGCGTGAAAAAAAAAAAAAATCTAATTTGGGATTCGATATAAATATTTCGAAAATCTTGACAAATGTTTATTATTAGTCTTGCATGTTTTTTTTTGAAAATCTTATTTATTTTTGTCAAACGCACTAACCTACAGTTTTTCAAAAAAGGAATCTTTTACAGTCCGTTTTATAACTATGGAAAATCGATCGATATTTAATCAATTACGACTTTATGACGGTGAATAATGAGGCGACGATGGTGAATAACTTGGTGATGTTGGTGAATATGTTGGTGATGTTGGTGAATAATGCACAGAAGGAGCAGTAGCTGAATATCTTGGCGATGTTGGTGTATAATTAGGTGATGTTGGCGAGTAACTTGGTGAGGTGGGTGAATAATTTGGTGAGGTGGGCGAATATGTTGGTGATGTTGGTGAATAATGTGCAGAAGGAGCAGTAGATGAATATCTTGGTGATGTTGGTGTATAATTAGGTGATGTTGGTGAATAACTTGGTGAAGTGGGTGAATAATTTGATGTGGTGGGTGAATATTTTGGAGATGTTGGAGTATAATTTGGAGATGTTGGAGTGTAACTTGGAGATGTTGGTGAATAGCTAGGTGAATTAGGCGAATATGATGGACTGGTTGGAGAATATGATGGGCTAGTTCCAATTTGTTGTCTATATGGTGTAACAATTGGCATATTCGTTGATACACCACCCATAATATTGTAACCTCCTGTAGGGCTTGTAGGTGAATAGGTTGGACTTGTAGGGCTATACGCAGGACTAGTGGGAGTGAATGATGATATTTGTGCTGGAATAGGTGAACTTGGTGAATATTGTGGAGATGTTGGTCCATACATAGGACTTGCCTGTTCATTCCATCCGTATAATCCTGCCCCAACCATAACAGGTTTACCACTACCGGAGTCCAAAAGTGGCGAAAATGCTGGAGAAGAAGGTTGATCAATTCTAGGCGATTTAGGACTAATATACATTGGTGTTGAGCCATAACCTCCAGGCGATTGAGCACCTAAAATATATGGAGTCATACTAGACGTTATACGTGGTGTCATGGCACCAAGATTATTTTTAATAGGATGTTGGATTTCATCGGTGGTTTCACCAGTTATCATTCTTCTTTCACCAACAGGAGGAGTGTTCTTCAACATTTCCTGATCCAAATATACATCAAATTCACCTGTACCCAAAGGAGCTACTTGACCCAACATTATATTTTCCGCTACGCCTTTACAATCATCTACTTCACCAACTGCTGCTGCGTCAATTAATATTTCTACTGTTTCCTCAAAAGAACACCTCATCAATGCACCTGTCTCGGCACGATTTATACCATGACGTGTTATTGCCATTAGATGACCTCGAGAAGTCATCACATCACATAAAAGTGCCAAATGACGATAGTTCACATATGATCCATCAAACTCAATAACACCACGAAGTTCTTTTAATAAGGCAGCACGAGTAGCCTCAATACCCAATACTTGCATGATTTCCACACAGTTATTTGAATATGTACGTGTATAATCAACTTTTGGAACATTCAAAACCTCTTGTAAATTTGACCCATCAGTTTCCAGTACCCATTCATTTTCCTTAGTTATTTTACCCTCATTGTTGACATAAATGCGTGTTTTTTGACTTTCAATCAAATACACCCGATTGATTTTTTTGATACCTCTAAGACCGATAGTATTTAACATATTGTTTTCCACACGTTTTAAAAATACATCTTCCTCAATCTTTGTTCCATTCTCCTCTTCAATATGATCTTTTGTTGTACCCGGTTCACTTATTATTCGACAACGAATAATCTTCATGTCACTGTTATCATCATTCCAAATTGCATGTATATCTCTAGAAAAATCTTCTTGTATCTTGTGACCAACCACATCCATAGGCAATTTTTTATCAAGTAAAACTGAATGATTGAGTTCAAAACGTAGAACCCATGGTGATTGATATCCTGTTGAAGAATTGTGGTTGTTATTTTCTTCCATCTGGAAAAACAATTCCACGAAATCTTTATCGGTCTCTATTAATGAAGAAAATGGTTCAGGATCGTACCAAATTTCTGTTTTTTGTGTGACGGTTTTTAATGTTGTGTATTCAATAATACTTTGAATTTCTTTTGCCAAGTACTCATCTCGTGAATAATTATCAATAAGGAAAATATGCACAGATGGTGTTTTTATATTTTTGGCGACGTTGATGATTTCTTTTAGACGAGGTACACCAAGCGTAACATTTTTACTTGACACACCAGCATAATGGAAAGTGTTTAAAGTCATTTGCGTTGCAGGTTCACCAATTGATTGTGCAGCTATTGTACCAACCATTTCACCTGAAGCTACCAGTGCCTTTCTAAAACGTGATTCTATCTCACCCAATACCCATTGCAGAGCCTGTTGATTTAAATGATATTCTTCAATAACGCGTCTACTGGATAACCATGACCTCAGCAAAATTTTGAAAAGTAATGTGGCATTTTCCTGCGATTCTTCGCTAATTTTATCAGTTCCATTAATTACTTTTAATTTCTTGATTACTTCCTCAACACTGGAGATCACCTCAACATATTGCAGGTTAGATGCTATTTTCTGTGAGTTTCTTATATTGAATTTTTGTTGTGCGTTTTTTATAAGTCTTTTTATATTAACAGGCAATGGCCACCTATTGTCACCATTAGGAAATATAAATGTTTGTAACATTCTTCTATCTTCTTTTAATTGATTATATTCAGAAATTATTTTATCTTTAACAGATTGTTCGAGTGATTTTTTCGGTTTGTCATCAAGATTTTCTGTTCCTTCTTTTGTTTTGTCCTTTTCTGGTTCTTTTGGCAATTCAATCATATATTTATTATCGAAAACATCATTTGACAATTGTAATGTGTCAAGAGTTTGAGGTTCAACAAAACAAGCATCCATTCCATCTTCACCATAACAGAATTGTAATATATCACCCAATGAATTACGCACTGTTCCATCATACTTCACCATTACATCTTCTAACGCTTTTACCAATCTACGTTGGATATAACCAGTTTCTGCAGTCTTGACGGCAGTATCAATTAAACCTTTTTATTTATTTATATAAATATAAAATAATAGTTATAGCTAGCTACTATTATAATTAGCAACAATTATTCTAATAATTATAATTATGATTTACCTTCACGACCACCCATAGCATGAAAGAAGAATTCTTGTGGTGTTAAACCTCGTAAATAGGAATTTTCTACAAAACCTCTACTTTCTGGACTATGATCATCTTTTGTAAAATGTGGCAAAGTACGAAATTTAAAACCAAAAGGTATACGTTTACCCTCAACATTCTGTTGTCCGACACAAGCTGTCATCTGAGAAATATTAATGAAAGATCCTTTTGAACCAGCGATTACCATCTGTTTAACATTATTATCTTCACGTAAGCTTTTCTCGGCACTTCTACCCGCAGAATCACGAGCTGTATTCAACTCTTTATTAATCCTGCTTTCAAATGTTTCTCTTATTGTCATACCAGGTAAACATTCTAATTTATTATTTTGAGCATCTATAATGATTTTATGTACTCGTTGTTTAGCTGCATCAATAGTTTGTGTAATTGTTACCATGGTTTCTTTATCTGCTATTGTATCACCTATTCCTATACTAAATCCATTTTGTAAAAGCCATTGATTTACAACAGCTTGACAACCGTTTAAAAATTCTTTGGCTCTCTCAGGGCCTAATTCTTGCATTATTACATGGACCAATCCTTGTTGGGATGTTCCAACAGTTCTTTTACAAACTATACCACAAAGCAATTCACCATCTTCTATTACTACTCTAGTGTCACCAGGTGAAATATCTGTATTCTCGTTGTCAGGATGAGTAGAATGACGAAGATTGTCAGAATTTATACCTTTAGGTATGATCATGCTTAGAATTTGTTTACCAGTCCATAAAGGATATGGTTTTATGATACATGGTATAGGAAGGATTCCATCCCAGTTAGATACCCACATCATTATATTCATCACAAGATCCTTTGTTAAAAAGCAATCTCTTTTTGTGAATTTACGAACAGCACATAAAGTATCTTGCACAATACCCATGACTGGTTTATTCGATTGGGGCGATACGATTTGTTTTGGTACCATGCAAATTTCGGATATTTCAGCTTTGGTTTCGACGGATTGAGGAACATGCATATTCATCTCATCACCATCAAAATCAGCATTATAAGGAGTTGTCACGGATAAATTTAATCGAAATGTTGAATATGGCATCACACGAACTCTATGTCCCATCATTGACATTTTATGTAATGACGGCTGACGATTAAATATCACTATATCACCATCGTTAATATGACGTTCCACTTTCCAACCTAATTGTAGTCTAACACTAGAGGCTGAGCTTAATGTGTACTTGAGATCTATTCTTTCGCCTGTATCTCTTATAACATATTTAGCACCAGGATGTTCGGTAGGGCCTCGTTCAACCAAACTTTGTAAATGTGGAAGATTAAAAGGTGTTACTAGTTCTGGAAATGTTAAATTTTGAGCTATGCTACGAGGTACGCCAACTTCATCAACTGATATGTTTGGATCACCAGTAATTACTGTACGAGCAGAGAAATCCACACGTTTACCCATAAGATTTCCTCTAAGACGACCTTCTTTACCCTTTAAACGAGCCCTTATGGATTTTAATGGTCTACCCGATTTTTGTAATGCCTGAGGTTGTCCAGCTATTTCATTATCCATATAGGTTGCACAATGAAACTTGTAGGAATAAAATAAAAATTCTAATAAATACATTTATTTATTGAAATTTGTATTGACCGTTATCAATTTTTTGGAGTAGCTAACCTGTAACAATGCTTCGAATTCGTTTAATACATGGTTAGGATGTCCTTCGGTTTCACAACGTCTTACATTTTGGCTTGCTTTTAATATGTCTGATAATTTATGAGTTAAATCATCTTCACCTCTACCGGATCCATCAACTTGTATACTTGGACGAACAGGTGGAGGTGGAACAGGAAGTATTGTGATGATCATCCAATCAGGCCTAGCAAAATCTTCATTGAGACCCATGGCTACAAGATCTTGTGATGGTATTTTTTTGAATAAGGCATGTACCTGACTGGGTGTAAAAGGCTGTCTAGTGTCTTGAGCAGCTGCTTGTTCCTAAAAGCGAAAAAACAAATGAAACTGGTAAATAAAATAAACAGAACAAACATATATATATATATATGTATGTATGTATGTATGTATGTACACATAAATATTTAATTATTTCTTACATCGCCTTCTCTATTTTTATATGAAATGTATAATTTTAAACCATCTTTACGGACAATAGGTTGACGAGAACCACAACCATTATGTGATTTCTTTCTTTTACCTAGCCCTAAATCTTCATCAGTTATAGGTAATTGTTGAATTGGCTTTATGATGGATGTATCAATTTCTTCGATATCATTGCTTTTCTCATTCTCATTCTCGTTGTTTTCACCTCGTTCACAAATCATTTTTGTTTTACAAATATCCCAAACTGCACGAAGACGACGTTTTGGGTCACGTATCCTTCTTGTTTGGATGAATTTTGAGTTGGACTATTGTTATGTGATTAATATATGTAGTTATTATTATCATTATTATTATTATCACCATCATTATCACTATTATTATTATTATTATATGAAAAAAGTGTATACAGATAGTGATGATATGACATTGGTGTTGATTGTTTTGATGAATGAACATGAGAAAATTGATAGAATCAAAAATCATAACTATAAAACCATCATCACATCACCACCATCATCATGTTATGATCTTAAAAAGGATGACAAAACTCACTTCGTCAGTTTTCAATCTACCACAATTAAGACAGATACACTCCAAGATCTTTTTGACTTTTGGTAGAAATCCTATTTAAGTTGGTAGATCATGATTTTGTGAGATATTTAAATTTCAATAATAATAATAATAATAATAATAATAATAATAATAATAATAATAATAATAATAATAAATAACAATAATAATAATGATGGTGACAATAATAATAATAATAATAATAATAATAATAGTTTTCTCTTATAAACCAAAAAAATTTACAATATTCATATAATAAACGCAATATATTTTTTTAAATAACTTTTGATAATTTTTATTATTATTTTATTATTGTATGTGTGTGTGTATATATATATTTCTATAAAAAATATCATACCAACGTGAAACACAGGTTTAGCGAGTTCTATATGACCAAAGTGACCAGGGCACTCTGACATGCCCTCTCCACAAGTTTGGCATTTAAAATTTCTGTCAATAGTTCCCATACGTGGATCCAGTAAACCGCCTTGCTTAGGTCGACCGGTTTCATCCATAGTTTCAGGATGTTCGATCAAAGAGACCGACATTTGTTTCTAACAAGTAATAAAAATAACATACATAATGCATATATATTTTTAAATATATTTTTTAAATATAATCATAATCAACAATTTCTATTTAGATGGCTTTTTTCGATTTTTTTCCTAAAAAAAATTAATACTGATAAACCTACAATTTCTTCTGGCGATAATATTCCAAATTGTACATACTTTACTCGACGCAATGGTGCGGATGAGTAAGTAAACTGATGTCCATTCATAGTTGTAGGAATTAACGATGTAAATTGTAAAAGGAAAAAATAAATAATATGAGGCAGACTGCGACAGAACCAGACAAAGTGAACATACGACAGTAACACGAAGTAATTTCAGGGGCAGTGTAGGAAATTGCGTGCGGGATTTGTGTTACATAAAAAATGCGCACATTTTGTCAATCATCATCAAAAAAATTTTTTTAAATGACTATCCAATGGTATCTACATGCATTTTGTTTCTCAATTTGTTTTTTATCAGATTTGTTTGTGAAAATATTCTTTCAACGTGTGCATTGGAAAAAGTATAAGGAGTGCTATTTTAACAATAATTGTTAAATTTGGATAATTGAAATAAAAATTTTTGTCTGTATCCAAAATGTGTTTCCACAATTGAATAAAATGCATTTCAGTGTTTTTATAGGGATGCAGATAGAGTTCCACTCTTCTGTGAGTTTTCCTTTTTCAACAATTTCACAAAATTCATCCCCGAATAAAAGTATGTCCATTTATTAATAAAAATAGAGATTGTACCCAAAAACATCAATAAAAGTTGATAATAATAATAATAATAATAGATAATATTAAATCATAACTTGGTTACACTAATTGTCTGCACAAATCCTGCTAATAGATTATTGGCTACCTTTAATGTAACACAATTTCCTACACTGTTCAGGGTTAAATTTATGACGCAGTGGTGACCTCCAAATATTAGTAATAATAGCAATATTATTAATACTGTAATAGCAATATTAATAGCAATATTAATATTATTAATATTAAAGTGTTGATCATTCAATCTCTAAGCTTAAATTCAACAAACAATAATAAAGAAAAGTGAACATCTACAAATATTACGAGAGCAAAAAAAAGCAATTACTTGAAAAACAGAATTAGAAAATTATCAAGCTAAGCCCAAAACAAAATCGGGATTATTAAACTTTTGAGAAAGCAAACTTGAAAATAAATTGATAACTTTATTATAAGAAGGCAAAACCCAAGTGCAAATTTAATACTCAAGTAAAGTAGAAAACTTATTTAAGGGAATTGATTTTTTTAACTAGAAAATAAAACAAATAGAAGCAGAGAAATATTCTCAAATAGATAGTACCAATAATGTTTTGTAGCTTAGTATGTAGATGGTATTTGTTATTTATGTATACTGGAACCAACTTCCTAATCCAAGTTCGGTAGCGCTATTTAATATCTTGGATATCCTCCAAAATTCAAAATTGAAAACATTATCATAGTAACTCACATGCATACAACTCTAAATTTTATCAAGTGGAATGGGTATGATTTCTAAGCTCTTCACGATGAGACATGCATAGGGATGCTCTTAATAATAATTTCCAATATAACTTGTCTCTGACAAAAACTTTTAGTGTATGTCGGATTTAATTTCATTATTAAATGCTTGCTAATAAAGAAATTTTGGAATGCATATCTATTTTATTATCATGTTAATTATTTATTAACTATCTGGCAATTTGATAATATATATTTTAACATTAGCATTATTTATTATTAACTGAGTAAGTGAAACTGATTATTTTTTATACGTTGGAGCAACATGTGCAGATTTCTATTTTTTTTTTTCAAGATAATATAAATCTACCTGATTATTTTTTGTTTTAAAATTAAAATTATCTTGAATAAAATGACATAAAAATAGAATATACATTTAACCAATACAAGTAATCCGTGTAAAATTTATTACATTGTAAATATTTTATGTTTTATAAAGGTTGTTAGCGTGAATATATTTGATTACAGAATTAGGAAGCAAATATTTGATTGACATTCCACGCTTGACAAATAATCTATCATTAATATAAAAATTAGTATTAAATTTCAAAAAAATATATCACATAATATATGTAAACTTACCGAACTTTTGTTGAACTAATATCATTATAAATCAATTGTTTAATAACATAAACATTTTTCTATATAATTTAATAATTAATCATTAAAAAAAATCGTCAATTAATTTTCACAGTAAATTATTTTTATCACTCACTATCATTCATTACCAGTGTTAACTTACTCGGTGTTTATAAAGCATATCATGTGAAAGTAAGAACCCCCAAACATCGGATCCGGTTCTTTCTACTATCAAAACTCCATAATTACCTAAAATATGGTCCAACTAAATGGGATCATGAAGGAGAAAAAATATTATTATTATTTTGGATAAATTGTAATATTTATTCCAAACCAATATGTCAATGTATATATATACAGATATTCATTTGTTGATTTATTTACATCATCATCTAACCAAAGTTTTGGAATCTTAAATGACTCAATAAGATCACCACCAGCCAAAAGTAAGATTTTAACTGGGCGACGTTTACCTATATACAATAATACAAAAAAAACAACAATGTAAACATACAAAAATTATATATGCACATATTAAATATGCATAAATACCATCTGGCATCATTACACCACCACGTTTCTCATTGATCTCTCCTTTGAAATGATCAAGAACTAATGCAGTCCTTGTATAAGTATCTTGTAAGGTCTCCCATGCATCCACCATTAACCATGTAGAAGTCCTTTCCACAGCTAACTCACACATGCGAACTCTATGATAAGATGGTGCAAGTCCATCTTCTTGGTAATGATCTGACACTGGTGAATAATAACCGCCAATTATTTCAAAGTTTGTGTTTTCCAAAATATAATCTTTTGCCATTTCTAACATCCGACCAAAGAAAAGATAATAAAATCCACTTAATGTATTTATTTATTTATAAATTCGCGAGAAAAAGTTTTTTGAAATAAAAATCAATTACCAAAGATTCGAAGATGCAAGTATGTTATTGGAGAAAATGAGCCACATGCAATGATTGCTACAGGCTCTTTCGTGCCATCTACGGATATTGATAATAAGTAGTAGTAATAAAACTTACTAGTAGGTAAAAATAATGTGTATAAATTGTAGGAGACAAATTCATTGTCATTCTAATCAAATAAGGAAAGTTTTTGTGTATTGTATTCAATTCATTGATATTTTAAAACAATTGATTTCAATAAATAAAAACCAATTTTTAATTTTTTCTTGTGTTTTTATATATCTTATAAAAATGTTGAATTTGAAAATAAAAATATTACCTTCAATGCAAGTTTTAAGTCTATGAGAGGGAAAAAAATAGTCTTCTAGTTTTACTGATTGTGGTTTTATCGTATGATCATCTTCTTCCAGTTCAGTAGCAGATGAAGAAACATTTTGAATCTTATTGTACATAATTATTAAATAAACGAAGAAATCAAGGCTGTTATATAATATTGGGATTGGGACTGCCGATTTAAAATTTAACAAGTTACCCTTTTTCTGGTAGAGATTAACAGGTCATATGATACTATGTAATATCTAACACGTGATTTATAAGAGCTAATCCCTAGGGGTTAGGGGGGTTCAATACGAATGTTACACACTATGATTTCACAAAACCAAAACTGTCCTCCCTCGAAATTCATAAAATTCAAAATTTTATATAACAAAATAACGTTTTTACTTTGTAA